ATGCACCAGATATCCCGACTCCTCGATCGTACGCTGAGGCGATCGAGGGTCCCTACTCCTCACAGTTGCAGTCAGCCATGGACGCAGAGATGGCTTCCTGGAAGTCCACAGGCACCTACGTCGACGAGGTTCCCCCACCTGGGGCGAACATCGTCAGTGGCATGTGGATTTTCAGGGTGAAGCGGCCGCCGGGTTCTCCGCCTGTCTTCAAGGCGCGTTACGTGGCTCGAGGCTTCAGTCAGCGGCAAGGAGTTGACTACTTTCAGACCTTCTCTCCCACCCCGAAGATGACCACTCTTCGGGTGCTGCTGCACATAGCCGCTCAGCGCGACTACGAGCTTCACTCTCTTGACTTCAGCACAGCTTTCCTGCAGGGCAGCCTGCACGAGGAGATCTGGCTGCGCCGCCCACCTGGCTTCAATGGGTCGTTTCCTCCTGGTACCCAGTGGAGCCTCCGGCGGCCAGTCTACGGTCTCCGCCAGGCGCCCCGTGAGTGGCACGACACACTGAGGACTACACTTGCGGCTCTTGGGTTTGCTCCCTCTACTGCCGACCCGTCGCTGTTTCTACGCACCGACACCTCCTTGCCGCCGTTCTACATCCTTGTGTACGTCGACGACTTGGTCTTTGCCACTGCTGACACTGCTGGACTCGCCCACGTGAAGTCCGAGCTGCAGAAGAGACACACGTGCACAGACCTGGGTGAACTGCGCAGCTACCTTGGCTTGCAGATCACCCGGGACAGAGCACAGCACACCATTACCCTGACTCAGTCACACATGGTGCAGCAGGTCCTTCAGCGCTTCGACTTCACGTACTCCTCGCCTCAGGCCACTCCTCTGTCTACTCGCCACTCGCTCTCAGCTCTGCCTTCGGATGAGTCCGTAGAGCCGAGTGGCCCGTACCCAGAGCTTGTTGGCTGCCTCATGTACCTGATGACCTGCACACGACCTGACCTAGCATACCCTCTTAGCATCTTGGCACGCTATGTTGCTCCTGGGAGACACCGACCAGAGCACATGGCTGCAGCGAAGAGGGTGTTGCGCTACTTGTGCAGTACGTCGGGCATGGGGCTAGTGCTTGGAGGGCGACGTCCAGTGGTCCTCACAGGTAATGCAGACACTTCTTGGGCTGACGACCAGGCTACGCAGCGGTCGTCACAGGGTTACACCTTCAGCCTTGGCTCCGGCTCTGTTTCGTGGCGGTCTACCCGCTCGTCTTCTGTTCTCGGCTCCAGCTGTGAGGCTGAGATCTACGCGGGGGCCATGGCTGCACAGGAGCTACGCTGGCTCACCTACCTGCTGACTGACCTAGGAGAGCCGCCTCGTTCTCCTCCAGTTCTGTACGTAGACAACAAGGCCATGCTGGCCTTGTGTCGGGAGCACAGACTGGAGCACAGAACGAAGCACATTGCTCTTCGCTACTTCCTTGCTCGTGAGCTGCAGCAGCGTGGTCAGCTGCGCCTTGCTTACGTGGCCTCTGAGGCCAACACTGCTGATATCTTTACCAAGGCACTTCCGCCTGGTGATCATCAGCGCTTCTGTACGATGCTAGGTCTTGTGCCTACTTGGCCTCACTTGCTCACTTCTTGACCTTGCTTGTACTGTGATCTTTCTATACCTGCACTTGCCTGTTTACCTTTATATATGATCTTGCATGTGAACTGGCCTTTTGGCCTTGCTCTTGTGCTCGGATTGTGTGGTGACGTTGTGATCCACCCTGAGCTTGCTTTGCTTTGCTTGACTGGTCTAGTGACCTCTTGTTCTCCCCCACTTTGCCTATGGGGGTGTGTCAAACTTATATGCTATAGTCTGTGTAGGCTGTAGTGGGGTAGACTATATGGGGTACAACATTTCTAGGTTTCCTACTTGTACCCACCTCTTTCCTAGTTCATTCATTCCTCATTCTTCACAACTGCCACCTCAGCGACCGCACGACCACAGAATTGAGTTAGAACCGGGGGCACAGCCAACAGTACAGCGAAAGTTCCGACTGACCCAGCCCGAACTGGACGAACTGAGGAAGCAGCTCGATTACCTGCTCGAGAAGGAATTCATTCGCCCTAGTTCGTCGCCTTACGCAACACCGATACTGTTCGCACCGAAAAAAGACGGGGGATTTCGCATGTGCATAGATTACAGAGCACTGAACAGGGTTACCATCAAATCCCATTACCCCATCCCGCGAGCCGACGAACTGATCGACCAACTGCGCACAGCCCGGGTTTTCTCGAAAATCGACCTCCGAGGGGGTTACCACCAGATTCGCGTCAATCCGCCCGACTGCCCTAAGACCGCATTTCGCATACGCTACGGATCCTTCGAATACACCGTCATGCCCTTCCGACTTTTCAAATGACCATGAACGAAGCTTTCCGCCCGCTCTTAGATAAGTGCGTCTTAGTATACCTGGACGACATACTGATTTACAGCCCTGACAGAACACAACACTTACAGGACATCAAAGCAGTTTTTAAAATACTGAGTGAGAACCGCCTACTGACAAAAGCATCTAAGTGTGAGTTTTTACAGGACCGCCTGGAGTTTTTGGGACACGTTATTTCAGCTGCAGGAGTGGAAATAGACCCGAAGAAAATTGCGACGATTCAAGCATGGCACGCGCCGACCAACTTGACCGAGTTGCAGAGTTTTTTGGGGTTTGTCAACTACGTGCGCCGGTTCGTCCCCGACATGGCGAAGCTGACTGCCCCGCTGACAGACCTGCTGAGGAAGGGGGTTGTGTCGGAATCCCAACCACTAGACCATTGGGATAAAAGGGCTTGTTAAGTAGCGGGTCAGTGCGCCCATAACCCCCTAGGACAACGAGCCTGTAACCCTTCCCTAGGATCGATCGGGGATCATCAGTGGACCTCTGACACCCCCCCGCACTGGGATGCCCGAAGTGCACACACTGGGATTCGAACCCAAGTCCTTCGCTCTGATACCATGTCAGAATCCCAACCACTAGACCATTAGGATAAAAGGGCTTGTTAAGTAGCGGGTAAGTGCGCCCATAACCCCCCAGGACAACGAGCCTGTAACCCTTCCCTAGGATCGATCGGGGATCACCAGTGGACCTCTGACAGGTTGAGTACACGTGGGGGGAGAAAGAGCAAGCTGCATTCTCGGCCCTCAAAAACATTTTGTGCTCACCGCCCGTGCTTCACATCGCAGATCCACACCGTCAGTTCGAGCTCGTCACTGACGCAAGTGACATCGCTGTGGGAGCAGTACTGTTGCAGGATTTCGGGAACGGCCTCCAGCCAATCGCGTACGAGTCTCGCAAGCTGCACCCGCCCGAACGCAACTACCCGATATACGACCGCGAAATGTTGGCGATCGTGCACGCGTTCAAGGTTTGGCGGTGTTATCTGACTGGCGCCGACGTGACAGTATGGACAGACCACCGATCACTACAGTACCTATGCGCCCAACCAAATCTCAACCCGCGACAGATCCGCTGGTTGGACTACCTCGAGTCCAACTTCCACTACACGGTTACGTACAAGAAAGGCGCATCCAACATCGCCGACGCACTCACCCGCCCTACCGCCCAACTCCATGCCATCCTACTCGCCCAAACCAACTCGCTTTTAACAGGCCTATTCACCCACGGATACCGCACCGACCCATTTTTCACGACCGGAAATTTACAGCAACTGCAGAAGCTAAAGGAGTTTATTACGTAAAAACAGGCACCAACCGCATCTGGGTACCCGCGTACTCACTACTGAGGGAGCTGCTACTGCAGGAGGCACACGACGGAATTACCTCGGGACATTTTGGGGTAGAAAAAACGCGACAGCAACTGCAGCGGTATTACTACTGGCCGGAGCTGTTGACCGACGTGCAGCAGCATGTGGGCTCGTGCCCCATGTGTCAGGTGATGAAGAGCTCGAGGAAGCGGAAGGCGGGTCAATTGCAGCCGATACCACCGCCCGAGCGCGCCTGGCAGCAGGTTACTATGGACTTCGTCACAGGGTTACCTTCGAACCCTGGGGGTAACGACGCGGTGATGGTCGTCGTTGACAGGTTGACGAAGATGGCACACTTCGCTGCGTGCAAAAAGTCGATCTCAGCCGAGGAGACCGCTCGCCTGTTCATCGCAGCCTTTGTTCGCCTACACGGGATACCAGCAGCGATTATCAGCGATAGGGACAGGAAGTTCACCAGCAATTTCTGGAAGAACCTCTGGGAGCAGTTCGGGACCAGGCTACAGTTCAGTTCGTCGTACCACCTCGAGACCGACGGTCAAACGGAGCGGACGAATCAGACGATGTAGCAGTTGATTCGTGCCACGTGCGACGACCCCACGACTTGGGAGCAGCAGCTGCCGCTGATCGAGTTCGCGTACAACAACGCCACGTCAGCGACGACGCAGCAGTCCCCCTTCTACCTGAACTACGGGCAAAATCCTACGTAATAGGAATATATTTAGGAAGGTTATGCAGGATAGTCGTAAGTTGATGATAGTTTTGCATTTGAATAAGTTTCTGGGAGGTGTTTAGAAAAATAATGCTTCTATGTTGCACAAGGTTAGTGATCTGTTGCTGAATTCTCTAGTGCTGTACCTAATGTAACATGGTTTTTGTTTTTCCTGCATTTCTAATTTGTTCACATTACCTGTGCCTCTTACAACAATGAGGGGCCTACTATAAAATCAACATTTTTTTTACCATTGATGAGGTCCGAAATGAGAACATTCTTGCGGTACCTCACGTCGATCCTGCTATTATCACAAAGGCGCAATTTGTTTTTAACATCCTATTCTTCTAGCCTCTAGGTGTTATGTCAAGCATTCCCAACTATTTCAGCCTTGTACGGCAATGGGCATCTTTTCAGATATATCATCCAATGTTGTCACAAGCAAATGCTAATTGGACACACTTATTATTGCAATGAAGCTGCATTGCCAGGCGGCAATTATTTCGATAGTACAGCCACAAAGATCATAGTACAGAACATGGAATCCATGAACCAGGTATGCGGATGAAGCTGTATCTACTCCATCCACTCCTCTATTGCTTCTCTGGTGTACATCACATTCCCCGATACCAAGCTGTCTGCAAACCCAGAACCGAGGAGGGAATAATTCCCATGGGATGACATCTTTGGCCCTTCACCATTCCCCTCAAATGGAGAGCCCGGCAACAGACTAGCAACAGCACAATGCTGCTGCTGCTTCCGCTCCACAGACCTCCCTCCAAGTTTCACGCTGCTGTCAAAATGGAAGGGATGAGAAGCGCTGCAGGGAAAGCCAGCGTTAGAGAGAGCGGGAAATTGCGGCAGCACCCTAGTAGAAGGAGAGGTGCCAGTGGCGCTCGCAGCAGCATATGCCACGTGGACTGGCATGGCTGGCGGTGGGAGGGTGACGTCAGCATCCCTCTCCAGCCAATCGAACCCCGAAACGGCGGATTCGACAGCAGAGTTGGCGAAAGAACCCGAAGAGGAGGAACCCTGCGGGAGCATGAAGGGCATCCCCGGGGCTTCAGTGGGAGGGGAGAGAGGGGTGGGGGACCACTTATTTAAGAGGGCTCCTGGGGCTTTGAGGGAGGGAGAGAGAGCGGTGGGGGATGGGAGCCATGGAAGCCATGGCTTGTCGTCCGGGCTCCAGAAGAGGTTGGTTGTCCTTGTCCCGGCGCTCTCTGTGTTGCCCTCCTGCTGCTGCTGCTGCTGCTGCTGCTGCAGGAGGTGTTGGGTGTCGAGGCGAGATGCGCCCCACATCTCCCACTGCGCTGCTGCTGCACCCCCGCTTGCTCGCTGCTGCTGCTGCGGCTGCTGATGGTGATGGTGGTGCTGCTGCTGCTCTTTCTGATTGTGGTAATGCTGCTGGATCTGCTGGTGCTGCTGCTGCCACTGGTGCTGAAAAGACTGCACGTGCACGGGGGCAACAGGGCTCGGAAGAGGCTTACCCGCAGAGGAAACAGGTGAGGGGAGAGTGTAGGAAAGGGAGGGGGAGAGCGAGGAAGAGGAAGGGGAGAGAGGGGGAAGGGAGGGTGTGGAGGTGGGGAAAGAGCTGGGAACAACGGGAGGGGCATAAGGGGATGAGAGGGATGAAGCTAAGGTTGAAGTGGCACCGTTGCTCCTGCTGCTGCTGCCACCATTGCTGCTGCTCCAGCTAACTGCGTTGCTGCTGCTGTCACTTCCGCTGCCGCTGCCGCTGCAGCTGCTGCTGCTGCTTTCCCAACCGTTGGCCTCGCTAGTGTCAGAAGAAGGCTTGGTCTGCCGGGATTGGCGGGCAGCAGGCTTGGAAATATAGTCACTTTCGCCACTGTCACCCTCGCTTCCTGCACCCTCGTTTCCTGCCGCCACGAGCATGAGCTGATCAATCAAATGCGACAGCTCAGGTGGAGACAATTTGGTCAACTGAGTCAACTGGGTCAACTGCGCCAGTTGCTGCTCCTCACTCTTCCGAACATTAACAGTCATATTCTGCTGCTTCGGCTCCACGTCAGCTTGCACAGACGTGACTTCGGCGTCTGAGGGGGAATCTCCCTGGCGCGCGTCTGACGTGGCTCGTTCGCGCCTCGCCCGTCGCTGCTTCCTGAAAGCCCTCTTCCGCGAGCGCTCCTTCTCGGAAGATTCCTTCTCCTCAAGCAAGCCATCAATCAGCTCTGGAACCTCTGCAACTTCCGGAATTTCAGTCCTCTCCTGCGCTGCCACGTCACTCTCCAGCTCAGCCGCCTTGCTCTGCTCAATCGTTTCGTGCTCCTCCCTTTCTTCGTTATTATCACATCCGCTGTGCTCCTCCGCTTCGAATGCAGCTTTCCCGCCGCTGCCGCGGCCTCCCTTGCCAAGCCGCGCTCCCTTCTTCTCCTTCCCGCCGCGCTTCCGCGTCCTCTCCCCCGCCTCCCTCGTGCACACATCCGCCGTTCCTTCCGCAAGAGCGGAATCAGAAATGGAAGTGGAAGCAGAATCCGAGGATAACTGCCGCTGAATCCGCATCCACGGTACAAGGAGTCCCCATGCTGACGCAAGCATCCACACGGACAAACGAACGCTGACGGTTGGGATTCGAACGCAGGTGAAGAGAAGAGCCTTGGTAGTCATGATAGCGCGGCTGGCTGTAGCAGCGGCTGTAGCTGCTACTGTAGTCGCAGCGGTTGACACTGTAGTTGTTACCGTTACTCTTGCGGACACCATGAGCTGCCAGCACGAGCGAGTGACGGTGCTCCTCGCGGAACTGAGGCCGTTTTGCACGCCTTGCGAAGCGAACGTCGCTTTCTCGCAGGCGAATTTTCGCAAACACAAAAGTTTTTCGCCGACGCTTTGCGTCATGCTTCTTCTGGTAACCACCTCGTCTTCGCCACATGTCGAGTGCTCTGCCTCTATTGCTGCACACGACTTGGCAACCACCATCTCCGTGCGAACTTTTCGCAAATCCCCAGCATCGCTGCCGCTGCTGCGCGTTCTCCGCGCCTCAACCGCCTGCAGCATGCGGCGCTTGCGATTGAAACTCTCGCGCTTCGACTGTATCGTCTGCAGGCCGGGGAGGTAACAGGTGTACCAAACGAGCGCGATCGCTTGCGCGACGAGCATCGGCGGGGAGGTGAGATCGATGAGCGATCCGACGGGCAGCAGCAGCAGCGGGACGCCGAAGCTCGCGAGGACGAGGATGAAGCGCGGGATGAAGAAGAGGAACTTGACGAGGAAGTCGAGGAGCGCGCACGCGACGCAGATGCTGACGGTGCGGCCGCCGTACGTGACGGAGAAGACGATTGCGTGCTGCCGCGAGCAGAGATTCGCGCGGCTGGGAGATGACGTGGACGTGGTGATGATGGAACGAGGCGGCTCATGGGATGACGTGAAGGAGGAGGATAGCTGTGCAGGCGCCATTGGAACTAATTAATCTCTGAGAGAACCTCTTATACTTGTTTGGCAGCAGGTGTAGTAGGAGCAATTTAGAGCTGGTGATTGCTAAGAGCGAAGGTCTTTTAAAGAGAAGAGCCTTTGGTAGATAGACTAGACTGCTCTGCTCTAAAAATATGAGCTGATGGTGGAAAGCCGAATCTGGGATGGATCGATGGGACGAAACCCTTGCTCTAGAATTGAACGAAGAGCGGTCTTTAGTACCCGCAGGATGATGGGAACGTGTTAGTCTGGTGAATGCGAGGTGGCGTAGAGATGAAAGCAAGACGCTAGTTCCCAGAGCCTTTCCGTGAAGGGAGATTCCTCCATGTGGAACGTGATGGGCGTTTGACGAGCGGCATTCACGGAGCAAGCTCGTAGGACCTTAGAGAATGGATGATGGAGAAGATGGGAGAGAGCATGGGATGTGCGGATGGAATTATTGTGATGAATACCGTTAGCGGGAGTGAAGTACGGTTATGCGTGGTTTGTTCAGGCTGGGATGGAACGGAACGCGTTCATATTGCTTGGGGGAGGGTAGGCGCAATGCTTGCCGAATGCGAGGAGGGGCGAATTTGCTCCGCCGCGCGCGCGATCCGCAATGTGTGCTTCTGCTGACTGGGATTTCTCCCCCTCCCCCTAGACCTCGCCACGCCACCCCCCCACCTTTGCTGGATTACGGCGGAGGAACCCCTCGTGCATGGTGCATGCGCTCGTGCGCTCACCCATGGAGCTGCCGAAGTGGAGGCGAACTGCCTTGAGAATGCCGTGCGGATAGGACTCCCCGTTTAGGTGGACTTCGGCACTGACTAGCGGGATTGGTTGAAAAGTCTGCGCCTGCGATGGCAAGCAGTAATTGCGCTGCGCTTGAGGCGGATTTCGTTCCCCCTCCACTTCCCCCTCGCCTAGTGAGTGACTCCTCCCTCCCACACAGAAGAGTCAAGGGCTGAGGTTGGGGGAAGAACACAACGAATGTGGTCGAAAGCGGTTTGTCCAACGGCTGAGATCCTCCATGCGGATTCTTTTTTTCCTATCGGACCACAACACACACGTTTGTACACAGCAATAATGCAAACCGAGAGACTGACATAAAACCGAGCGTCAAAAGAAAATAAAAATCTCGCGCTGACATCACCAAACTGACGCGTTCAAATCGTACTTCTTCGTTGGCTCCGCCACCAGCGCTAGCCACACCTGCCCCTGCGGGCGGAGACAAAGGAGCTTGACTCCGACGCGGACCAGTCACAGCACAGGGCAGAGTTTGGCAGCAGGGCGGACGGTTCAAACTTCGAACGCGTTTCGCCCGTCTCGGTTGGACAGCGTGACGTCCGCCATCCCGTGGGTTCTGCCCTGCAGCACACAGGTTGTGGTGTGGGGTGGGGTGGGGTGGAGTGGGGAGGAGGGGGTCACAATGATTGGAGTGGCTAGATTTCCACATTGCCCAGATGTATTTATTGCTGAAATATTTAGAATTATGCACCTAGCAGTGTAGCTAATGTAAAGGCATCCAAGCCTCGTGTACGTGTTGCGATGAGCTCAACGGCGAGAACAAGACTCCTCGACAACGCCACACACCACTCCACTCCAATTTCGATAATTTCGCCTCTTATTACGTCTGAAATTCAGAATTTCACCTTGTCTCATCGTCACATCCGCCGCCAGTCTTCCTCGTCTCTCGAACAAAAAAGGCGTACTATAATCGAACGCCACGATGAACGGCACAGGCAGCGCAGGCGCGGGACCGCAGAGGAAATCCACGGGCAACGAAATGAGCGAGAAGCTGCTGCAGGGCTGGGCGATGCTCGCCATGCACTGCCCCGTGTGCTTCAACCCCATCCTCCGTAGCAGGTGCCGCTCCATCCTCGCTGCACGCCACCCCTTAGTTCGCGTGTGATGTTCAGAGACCGTAGTTTTCATCACGTACTCGTTCATCTCCCCTATTCCCTCTCCCCACTAGCTTGTTAGAATCTCCCCACTCGTTCATCTCTCGACTCCCTCCGTCCCTATTCCGCCCCCTGTTTCTGCTAATTTCTTTCCCCCACCTTCTCCCCCACTTTCTCCTACCCACAAGCGCTCTGAGGCCAACCCCTAACCCCTGATACCTACCCTTAAACCCTCTCCCCGGCTGTGAGCCCACCAGAGCGGGGGAGAAGCGGTGCGTCGTTTGTGACCTACCCGTTATAGAGGAGGCAGATGCCCCGGCCCAGATGACGCCACAAGAGCCAGCTCAGCAGCAGCAGCAGGGAGGAAGGGTCCAGGAAGATGCGGCAGGCTGGGAGAAGGAGGAAGAAGCAGAGGGGGAAAAGAGCAGAGGTCAGAGAGAAGGAGAGGTGGAGAGGGCAGTCGAGGACGGCCTTGTATCGGGGGCGCTATTAGAGAGGATGACGGGAGGTCAGCAAAGACAAGATTTGCCGCCTATTGGCACAGTACCAGCTGCAACGCCTCCTAGCACGGTGGCAGCAGCTGCCACTGCCACTGCCACTCCCTCGGCGGCTCCCTCAACTGCTGCTCCCTCGGTTGCTGGAGGAACGGCAAATGGCTCTATCGCTCCCCTCCTGCCATCCCCAAGTGCTGTCCCCGCCTATCTGCCGGTCCCCGGCATGTTGCCCCCTCTACCGGGTGTACCGTCCTCCTTACGAGACACGTCTATGAGCGCGGTGAATGCAGCGGCTAATGATGCCCTTATTGGTGCTCTGCGGGCCGCTGTCACCCAACTGCAGGTGAGCGCGCGTTGCGTTGCCAGCCAACAGGAAACTCCGATAGCTCCCCTCCAATCACATCTGATCGCTGCTTCCCATCCCCGCGGTCACCCTACTCTCTTTCATTCCCATCCCTCTTTCATTCCCATCCCTCTTTCATTCCCATCACCCATCCTGCTCTGCTGCGTTGAGAGCCTGGACAGTTTTCACCCTTTCCACAGGAGGGCCATGTTTCCTTGCAGGCAATCGCATGGCACGCCTGTGCCCCTTTTGAGTACACTACACAGGACAGGAAATCATGGCATGACCATGCCATGTCCTCCCAGCCTAGCCGTTGTTTCGCTGACCCTGCCCCTCCGTTTCTTCTCTTGGTTGCCATGACATGACATGGCATGATATGACATGACATGACATGCGATGACCCTGCCCCTCACAGCGAGCGCAAAAGGCCCTGGAGTGCACATCCGACTTGCAGCAAACGCAACAGGTGGGTGCGCCTGCTGAGTCACCTGGTGGGTGTTCTCGCTGAGTCACTAGGTGCGCCTGCTGAGTGACCAGGTGGGTGTTCCTGCTGAGTCACTAGGTGGGCCAGCTGAGTCACCAGGTGGGTGTGCTGAGTCACAAGGTGGGCGTGCTGAGAGTAATCTCAGAGTATGCGCAGGTCACCAGGTTTCTCAGTCGACTCTGAAGTCCGCCCCCTCTCTTTCCTCCCACCCATCCCCAGACCTGCTTTCCCCCCATCACACCCCGCATCCCTCACCCTCACCATCTCACCCCCAATTTTTAGAATTCTCAAAACTGACTCTCTTTCCCTCACCATCTCACCCCCATCACCCCTCCCCCTCCCCCGTCCTCACCATCTCACCCCGATCACCTCTCCCCCTCCCCCGTCCTCACCATCTCACACCCATCACCCCTCCCCCTCCCCCGTCCTCCCCTGTCCTCCCTGTCCGCTCCCCCATCTTCCCCCTCGTCCCTTCACCTGCTGTTCAGAATTTCAGAGAGTGTATGCGCCACCAATGGGAGATCGAGGGTCATTCGTAGTTCGCCTCCCCCATCCTACCCATTCCCCCCCCATCTCCCGCCCATCTTCCCCCCATCTCCTCCCGGTGCCATTGTGCCTTCATACCCTCAGCTGCTGGGCATCATTGTGGAGTGTGCGCGGGCTATCAAGGAAATCCAGCCGTTGGTTCGCCCGATGTGACGTGACATTACAGGCAGCTGAACCTGCTACAGGTTCCCATTATTCTGTACATGTAAAATTTAACCTAAAATGTATTACTCGCTGTAGATGTGCAAACAAATACAATTTGGCTATATTTGTAGTAGTACCACAGTACAATGTTTTACATAATGGATGAACTACAGTTCACCTATCCCACTTGTACTTCATAGTGACATTTTGCTTCAAAAACCTTGTGCGCAGCGATTTTTTAGGCACCTTAAAAAGCATCAGGGTACATTCCTGTGGGGACACTTGTGTCTCAATCACTTTGTGACACCCAAAAACAACATAAACTGTGTTGTGTCCCAAATGCGAATCGCCTTTCAGCGACTTGTACTGTATTTATTATTGGTCAGCGTGAAACGCGCTGACATCGCTGACGAATTGTGAAACGACCCGTCATTGTTAAAGAATCGCACGCGACTCGAAATGCCCGACACGACCACATGCACCTGGACATCCGAAAATGCCAATTTTGCGCGAAAAATGCCAATTTTGCGAGGGAAAGGATCACGCCCCAGCTCGGAGGTTGAAAATGTTGGAAATCCAAATACACTATAACGAATACTGTATACCACTGTGCTGTTTGGTTTTAGTGTAGTCCCCTTTTAAAGTCTCCAGGTCCTACAACATTTGTCACAATTATTGTAGGGCCACAATTATTGGAGCCTAGCATTATTGGAGGGTAGAGGGTACAATTATTGGTACACCATTATTGGTGTGAATGGGTCGTTCTGGCGGGGTAGTTGGATGCATACCGTATATACCCTGCTGTGTCACTTCTTCAACATCATTGAGTAATCATTGAGTTATCATTGTGTCATCTTTCTACTTTTCAATGATCAATGCAAGATTTCTTTTTCTTCTCTACAAACACGTTTCCGCTACGCCGGCACTATGCCTTTCTAGCAGAAAATACGGGTGTACTGTCACCCAGTCAAATGCACACAACTGTACATCTCTTTTTTATCGCAGCCAATGAAACGTGTCCAACTGAACCTGCCAATCTGTCGCCCTACGTCGCGGTACATTCGATATTTGTGACACAACATTGGGAAAATTAACAGGCGCGACTCGGGAAAACGGGGATTGAGACACAAGTGTCCCCACAGGAATGTACCCTCAATCCCACTTGTATCCATAGTGCCATTTCTCTCCACTGCCAAGTGCGCAACTCAAAACACACTGCTACAGTAAATGTATGCCTTGTGCAACAGTGGATGCCGCACCCTTTTGAGCCTTCTTGCCCTCCACTTTGTACATCTCTTTTGTCTGCTTCTTCGCCTCCCTCGCCGCCCGCTTCTGAGCCTTCACAGCTTCCTGCACAAGATGTGGCAGATAGAGGTTGGATGCGGTGGAAAGAGGTTGAGTGAGAAGCGATGGGTAACCCAGAGTGGTTGGCTGTGGTGGAAAGAAAGGGGTTGGTTGAGGTGTAGAGAGAGATGTCTTCAGGTGATACACAGAAAGGTTGGTCGTGGTTTAAAGTGGTTTGAGTGTGCGGAGAGAGGGGTGAGGGGGGCATGAGGAGGAGAAGGAGAGGGAGGAGGAGACGCAGGTAGTGAAAGCACGACTGGGTACTGGTTACTGGGTAAAAGCACCATGCCCACAGGAGAAGGACAAAAGCACCATGCCCACAGGAGAAGGACAAAAACACCATGCCCACAGGAGAAGGACAAAAGCACCATGCCCACAGGAGAAGGACAAAAGCACCATGCCCACAGGAGAAGGACAAAAGCACCATGCCCACAGGAGAAGGACAAAAGCACCATGCCCACAGGAGAAGGACAAAAGCACCATGCCCACAGGAGAAGGACAAAAGCACCATGCCCACACACCAACCCATGAACCTTACACAGCGGCACCCTCTACCTTGAGTGCTTTCCATCCCCTCAGGCGTCTTTTCAGGTGCCACAAAAGCCCTACCTTGCGAGCTTTCTTGCACTTGTCCTTCCCCTCAGGCGTCTTTTCAGGTGCCTCAAAAGCCCTACCTTGCGAGCTTTCTTGCACTTGTCCTTCCCCTCAGGCCTCTTTTCAGGTGCCTCAAAAGCCCTACCTTGCGAGCTTTTCTCTTCTGGCGTCTCCTTGTCTTTCCCTCCCATGCACTTCACACCCCACCTGCACCTTGCACCACCGCACCGTAAGTTGCACCACCACACTGAACCTTACACCACAGTTCCATACCTTGCGTGCTTTCTTCTCTTCAGGCGTCTCCTTCTCCTTCCCTCTCGGCCGCACAAACACAACACCCCCCCCTCCCTCCCCCGCCCCTTCCTCATCCTCCCCAATCCCCTGCAACCCACCCCCCGTGCCACTCCCTCTCCCCTCCTCCTCCCCCTCCCTCCCCTCTCTCCCCACTCTCCCCACTCTCCCCGGCACAAACCCAGCAGGCAGCTGCGCTCTCCCCTTCAATCTAATCTCCTCCACCCCAATCCTCCCACCACCCCCCCCGGCCACTCCCCCTCCTCCCGCCGCCGCCTCTCCCGCTCTGCTCCCCTTTCTGCGGGGATTGGAAGGGGCGGAGATTCGTGCAGGGTGGTTGTCTAGGTTTGAGTAGGTAGAGACTATCGACTCGCAGTCCCACTTGCCCCTCTCCCTCTCCTCGCCCTCCTCCTCCGAAATATATTCCACCTCTTCCTCTTCCTCCTCTTCCTCCTCCTCCTCTTCCTCTTCTTCCTCTTTCGTGTCCCCTCCCTTCCCAACCCTATCTCCCCCACCAGGCACAATAGGAATAGCCACAATTTCTTCCTCTCCATTCTCTTCGCCCCCCTCCTTCACCTCCTTTGCTCCCCCACTATCTCCCCTCTCCCCGCTCTCCCCTTTTCCCCCGCCCTCCCCCTTCCCCATCCGCACAACCGCGCCCCCCCTCTGCAGCTCCAGCAGGCTCTCCCGCCGGGAAGCTTCCAGGAAGTCGTCCAGCACGTTGCTGAACATGGAAATATCCGCATGCCCCGCTGCGGACCCCCCTCCGCCGCCCCGGTGGTCCCCGTCCTCGTCATCTGAGAAGTCGTCCACGTCAGCATCCGCGTATTCCCGCTCAGCCAGCTGGAGGCGTGAGTCAGCAGCAGGGTCGAAGAATGATGGCAAAAGGAGGGAGGTGAGGGAAACGCAAGGTTTCGGGTTCAATTCGGATAAGGGTAAACGAGAATTTTCCCCTCTTTGGGTGTCGGGTTTCAGGTTCAATTTAGACGTGTGAAAATGACCAAATTCTGTATGGACGATAAGAAATTCTGCTCCCTACACCACTCAGCACCTCTCAGCATGACCTAGCACCACACCGCACCACTCACCAGCATCACTTGTTCCTCCAGCGCTCTCAGGTTCTCCTCCGCCTGAGCGCGGCTCTTAGCCTCCTCTTCCGCCCTCCGCCGCATTTCCTCCCCGCCCACCGCTGCTTCCCTCCGCTGCGCCTCCGCGCCCACCGCCGCTTCCCCGCCAAGCTTCCAGCTTTCTCCTTTAACCCCCGAACCCTCAACCCCGCTTGTTAAGCTTTCCACGCCTGGCGCAATGACCGTGTCCCCTGCCGCACCCACACCGGAAGCTTCTTCCGCCAACCTCACACTTTCCCCTTCCCCCGCTGCCTCGTTCAACCTACCTTCCGCATCTTCCGCCTCCTCCGCCTCCTCCTCCTCCTCCTCCCCCCCCGCCGTCGCCAGCAAAACAAAGTCATCTTCTAGCTCCCCGAAAACATCTTCCCCCTCCTCCCCCTCCCCCGCTTCCCCCTCTCCCCCGTCCCCTTCTAGCAGCGCTAAAACCTCCGGATCGAGCCCTGAAACGCCTAAGTAGTTTGCGCTGCCCTCCCCGCCTGCGGAATCGCCTGCTTGCGCTCCCGCGGAAGCTGGCGCTGCACTTTGAGCTGCGCGGGCGGGCGGCGCGGCGGCGGGGAATCCGCGCTTCGGCCGAATCTCCTTGATGACGGAGGAGATCTTTGCCACGACCTCCAGGTCAGCAACCGGCGCGTCGGCGGCTGCTGTCGTGGCAGCCGACGTGTCCGGCCGCACGGTAAGGCGCGTGGCTTTATATATCTGCGGTGGGCGGATGTACATCAATAACGAAAATGGATAATTAGTACGCATGTAAAGAACGCGGGTGGTGTAGTGCAGCGCGCGAGGATTCGAAGCTGACAAGGGGTAGAGGGGCGGGGGGAATGGGGGGCGCGGGGGGAGGGGTGGGGGCGCATGGCGGATGGCAAGGGCGGACAGCGGCGGCCGTCAGGTATACAACAATCGCACCTTTACGTCGTCGGGAAGCGCGGCCGCGGGAGCCTCGGCGGGAACGAACGACGCGAACGTCCTCGTCTGCCCGATCACCCGAAGGTGCTGCGTGTAGTCGTACCCGTCGTCGGGTAACCCTAATTCGATAATTTCGCGACGGGCGCTCTCGGTGAGTTTTTTCTTGCCCTGCCCGCCGGCCACGCTTCCTCCTCCTCCCATCACGCTCCCCCCATCCCACCCGGGCGGCCCGCCCAACCCCAGGCCCGCCCATAAGTCGCGCCCTCTCCCTCCACCGCGCCTCGTGCTCGCGTGCGATCGGCCCGCGACCGAGGCCGCGTCGTCGCCATCAGTCGCGCGTGCGACAGCGTGCGACTGCGCTCGGGACCTCCTGCTCCCGGCGACGCTTCTTCCCTCCCCCTCCCCCTCCTCCCCCTCTTCCTCATCCTCATCATCCTCCTCCTCCCACTCCTCGCCGCTAAAATCCTCCGCGTTTTCCGGGATCGGCGGCTGGTAGTCGTCCGAGAATCCCGGAACATGGTTGCTTCCGGCGTCGGTGCGCACGAAGACGCGCTCACCGGGCGCGTCGGGGTCGTTGGATTCGCGGTACATGAGCGTGAACGACGCCGCGCTCTTCTTGTCCACAAACTTCTTCTTGCGACCCATCGCTGCTGGCGAAAAAGAACGAGCGACGACGAAAAGCGGCGAAATCGACGACGGAGAGGAGAGAGAACGAAGTGGCGATCGGATCGGAGTGAGTCACGCAGCGGATGTAGGCAGTAGACGACGAGTGGAACGGCTGTTATCCGGATTTCTATCTTGGTTCCACCCTGTCGACAGATGGGCGCAACGTGCAAAATGCGAACTGCGAGGGGTTTAGATTAGCAGGCGAAGAGCTGTCGCGGAGTTTGAGAGTTACCAATCACGAACACAAATGGTAACTCTCTTGAGGGTACTCCAAGTTGCTGGGAGGGAAGAAGGGCTCGGTGGATATCCACATTTGGGTGGCTCGTGGAATTCGTGGTCCCCTTTCGTAGCGAAACAGATCGTACACCCACTCGCGAAAGCAGCATTTCCAACTCCTTCCCCACGCGATGCGACATCCCTCGTTGACACTTTTCGTTTCGCTAAACCCGTTTCGCAAAGATCCGAAATCCCATCTCCCCCTCTCTTTCGCTCCTTAGCTTTCTGCTTTCGCTGCTCCCCGCCTCCCGGCGTCGCGACCTTGTTTTGTCTGGTTAAAGCTTTCGTATACATTTGAAAAAGGGAGGTTCAAAAGTTTTGAAATTTGAAATATTGGTAACCCAGAAACAGCTAGTTTCACTCGCTTCACAAGGGAGGTGATCTCCCCGTCACCCAGGGCTCACTGGTGATTCAAAACTTTTGGAATAACAAAAGTATACGAAATCCAGTCCATGTGAGATCTACGCCACTACGCTCAACAGGCAGCATAAATCGTAGCAAAGCACATCGCGACAACAGCCAGCGCAAATCACTCCCGTTTCCGACACAAACTTAGACGCGTGGGGCAGTTTAGTGTAATTACACGTCCGAGCCAACGTCAGTTCCGCCCTCTAACACGGCGAGCCCGCCGGACCCCTTCTCACAGCCTCGCCTCGTCGTCCGTCGCGTTGCCTCACCACGCGGCCTCCTCACGCCACCATGAACGCGCACGCTGCGTCTCAAACTGCCGAACACGCACGATCACAGTCGCTTCCCGATCGCGCGACCTCGCTACCACGTTTCCGCAGTAGCGGCGGCAGCCGCAATTGAGGTGTCGCGAGGGTAATCAGAAACGATTGCTCCCCATTACCTCTTCCCGCCTCCCCGTTTCCCCTTCCCGCCTCCCCAATTCCCCTTCCCGACACCCCATTTCCTCTTCCCGCTCCCCACTACCCCTTCGCGCCTCCTCGTTTCCCCTTCCCGCTCCCCATTACCCCTTCCTGCCTCTGCAATTCCCCTTCCCGCCACCCCATTTCCTCTTCTCGCTCCCCATTATCCCTTCCCGCCTCCTCGTTTCCCCTTCCCGCTCCCCATTACCCTTTCCCGCCTCCCCAATTCCCCTTCCCGCTCCCCATTACCCCTTCCCGCCTCTCCAATTCCCCTTCCCGCTCCCCATTACCCCTTCTCGCCTCCCCAATTCCCCTTCCCGCTCCCCACTACCCCTTCCCTCCTCCCCGTGACCCCTTCCCGCTTCCCCATTACCCCTTCCCACTCCCCATTTCCCCTTCCCGCCTCCCCAATTCCCCTTCCCGCCTCCCCGCTTCCCCTTCCCACTCCCGATTATCCCTTCTCGCCTCCCTTCTCAAACTGCCGAACACACATCACAGTCGCCGCCCGATCGCACAGCCTCGCTACCACGTTTCCGCACTAGCCGCGGCAGCCGCACTCTCATTTCCCCCCTTGCAGACTCTCATTTTCCCCCTTGCTCACTCTCATTTCCCCCCCATGCTCTCCCTCATTCCTCCCCCCTTCTCCCTCTCATTCCCCCCATGAAGCCCCTCATCCCCCCCTTTCTCCCTCTCATCTCCCCCCCTGCTCCCTGTCATGTCCCCACCTTCTCTCTCTCATGTCACCCCCTTCTCCCGCTCATTCCCCCCCATTCTCCCTCTCATTTCTTCCCCTTCCCCCTCTTATATCTCCCCCTACTCCCTCTCATTCCCCCCATGAAGCCCCTCATTCCCCCCCTTTCTCCCTCTCATCCTCCCCCCTGCTCACTGTTATGTCCCCCCTTCTCTCGCTCATGTACCCCCCTTCTTCCTCTCATTTCCCCCCCTTATCCCTCTCATTCTCCCCCCTGCTCCTTCTCATTCCCCCCTTAACCACTCAGTTAAATGCCACATAACCTCCCTCTCATTTCCCCGCATTCCCCCCCCCTTCCCCCTCTCGTTTCCCCCCATCTCCCTCTCCTTTCCCCACGTGCTCCTTCTCATTCCCCCCCCCTTCTCCATCTCGTTTCCCCCCCGCTCATTTCCCCCCATCTCCTTTCATTTTCCCCCCTTCTCCCTCTCATATGCTTCTAACCCCTACCGTACCCTTGGATGATCGCATGCCATACTCATCCATCCGCTGCCATACACCGCCACACCCTTCCATCTCCTCCCATACCCTTCCATACGCCAGCCAAGCCCGTCCCTCATTCTGCCATACCTTGCCATACTCTGCCATACCTTTCCTTCCCTAGCGTAAGTGTACCATTCCCTTCCATACCCCAGCCATACCCATCCATCCCCTGTCATACCCTTCCATTCCCTTCCATACCCTTCCATACCTTCCATTCCCTTCCATACCCTTCCATTCCCTTCCATACCCTTCCATTCCCTTCCATACCCTTCCATTCCCTTCCATACCCTTCCATACCTACCATTCCCTTCCATACCCCAGCCATACCCTTCCATACCCTTCCATTCCCTTCCATACACTTCCATTCCCTTCCATACACTTCCATTCCCTGCCATTCCCTTCCATTCCCTGCATTCGTGCACAGGCATATGACTAGTCACGTGATTGGTATCGAAGAATCCAGGGTTGGGTGATAAAGGTTATGTATATAGTGATACAATTGTAAGGACTTTTTTTATAAAACATGTTGTGAGGCTACGAGCTTGATTTTGGTCCTGAAGTGCCAAAAATGTACTAGAGTTGGGAGTGTATGCATGCTTCTTGAATCACAAGTGCATAGTAATAAATACGCAGGGAGCTGCCGCACAAGTTGGCGGCTGCTGTTGTATGCCTGGCGTTGGTGTGCAGCAGAGGGGAGCGATGCATTGTGTGCTGCTTGGTGGACCTGCCGGTGAGAGGAGTGGGGGGGGTCAGGGCTGAGAAAGGGACGAGGAAGGGGAAAAAGAAGGCACATATCAGGGTGAGCTCAACCAAAGCCTGGAGAGAGTGCCCTTAGTCATCCAAGTGGCGTGAAAACGGTTGTCTAGGCAAGTCCCAAGGCATGCGATGGGACGCGCACAGTACCTGAGAGGCGTGAACGATGGGACAAAACTTGAGATGAGTCGAGCTCGCTTGCACGCACCATCTGCCGCAACAGCCTCGCTACCTCCTCCTTCTCCCTCTCCCTCCGCCTCGCTTCCTCATCGAGCCTCACACCCTGCTCGCTCCCCAGTCCACTGCTGACATGGCTGCTTCGATAGTGTGCACCCATCGTGAGAGACCCGGCATGCTGCATCTCCTGCGGCTTGCGCACTCATGAGCGCGCTCGGCTGTGAGACCGCAGCAGGGTCCACTCGCTCTTGGTTCTGCTGTTGCTGCCCATGCACCTGCCGCTGTTCTTGCAAGATCATCCCAGCTCCAACTCCTCGTGGGAGCTGCTGCTACATTTGCTCCACAAATGCTAGGTCCAGTAGGAGCTCAATCCGCAGGAGCAGAAGTATGGTCAGAACCGGGGCAGTTGCAGAGTCACACGGGTTGGGGCCAACAGCCGGCGTCGGCAGTCCATAGTCAAAGGAGTGGGGCGAACAATCCTCCCCACTGGCTGCTCCTCGCCTCATGTCTCCTCCTCCTCCACCATGCCTTCCCCTCCTTTCCTGAGCTACCTCCTGCTCCGGGGGGAACACCAAAGGAAGGAACACTGGGTGTGGCAGCAGAGGCAGCTCCGGCAAAGGCAGCAGCGGCGGCAGTATGGGCAGGGACTGAAGGAGCGAGTGGGATCTCATGGGAGGTGAGATGACCCTGGAAGGAGGGGGGATGAGAAATTAAGGCATGGCGATGGGAGAGCGTGGAAGGGAGAATGGAAGGGAGCGAGTGGGGGGCAGTATTTTGCAAGGGATCCACCCTGTAAGGGAGGGAAGATGAAAAGGACGGGAGGGCAGTGGGGCTATGCCAGAGCTGGGAGGGAAATGAAGGGGAGCAAGGTGGGAAAAATAAGGGGAGAAGGGGGGGAAATGACGGGGAGCAAGGTGGGGAAAATAAGGGTTTAGGTTGGGAAATGAAGGGGTGAAGGAGGGAAATGAGAGGGAAGCGGGGAAGCGAGAGTGAGCAAGGGTGGAAGTGAGAGGCGGCAAGGGGGGAAATGAGAGGGAGGAGGGGGAGAGATGAGAGGAGCAAGGGGGGAAATGAGAGGGAGGAGGGGGAGAGATGAGAGGCGGCAAAGGGGGAAATGAGAGGGAGGAGGGGGAGAGATGAGAGGAGCAAGGGGGGAAATGAGAGGGAGGAGGGGGAGAGATGAGAGGAGAAAGGGGGGAAATGAGAGGGAGGAGGGGGAGAGATGAGAGGAGCAAGGGGGGAAATGAGAGGGAGGAGGGGGAGAGATGAGAGGAGCAAGGGGGGAAATGAGAGGGAGGAGGGGGAGAGATGAGAGGAGCAAGGGGGGAAATGAGAGGGAGGAGGGGGAGAGATGAGAGGAGCAAGGGGGGAAATGAGAGGGAGGAGGGGGAGAGATGAGAGGAGCAAGGGGGGAAATGAGAGGGAGGAGGGGGAGAGATGAGAGGAGCAAGGGGGGAAATGAGAGGGAGGAGGGGGAGAGATGAGAGGAGCAAGGGGGGAAATGAGAGGGAGGAGGGGGAGAGATGAGAGGAGCAAGGGGGGAAATGAGAGGGAGGAGGGGGAGAGATGAGAGGAGCAAGGGGGGAAATGAGAGGGAGGAGGGGGAGAGATGAGAGGAGCAAGGGGGGAAATGAGAGGGAGGAGGGGGAGAGATGAGAGGAGCAAGGGGGGAAATGAGAGGGAGGAGGGGGAGAGATGAGAGGCGGCAAGGGGGGAAATGAGAGGGAGGAGGGGGAGAGATGAGAGGAGCAAGGGGGGAAATGAGAGGGAGGAGGGGGAGAGATGAGAGGAGCAAGGGGGGAAATGAGAGGGAGGAGGGGGAGAGATGAGAGGAGCAAGGGGGGAAATGAGAGGGAGGAGGGGGAGAGATGAGAGGAGCAAGGGGGGAAATGAGAGGGAGGAGGGGGGGGAGATGAGAGGAGTAAGGGGGGAAATGAGAGGGAGGAGGAGGGGAAATGAAGGGGAGCAGTGGGGGAAGTGAGAAGGAGCAGGAGGGGAAATGAGGGGGAGCAGTGGGGGAAGTGAGAAGGAGAAGGAGGGGAAATGAAGGGGAGCAGTGGGGGAAGTGAGAAGGAGCAGGAGGGGAAATGAGGGGGAGCAGTGGGGGAAGTGAGAAGGAGCAGGAGGGGAAATGAGGGGGAGCAGTGGGGGAAGTGAGAAGGAGCAAGAGGGGAAATGAGGGGGAGCAGTGGGGGAAGTGAGAGGGAGAAGGGGGGGAAATGAAGGGGAGCAGTGGGGGAAGTGAGAAGGAGCAGGAGGGGAAATGAGGGGGAGCAGTGGGGGAAGTGAGAAGGAGCAGGAGGGGAAATGAGGGGGAGCAGTGGGGGAAGTGAGAGGGAGAAGGGGGGGAAATGAGGGCGAGAAGGGGGGGGGGGTTGAGGGAGAAAAGGGGGGGAATGAGGGGGAAGAATGGGGGGAATGAGGAGGAGAAGGCTGGGAAATGAGGGGAAGAATGGGGGGAATGAGGGGGAGAAGGGTTAGAACTGAGAGGGAGAAGGGGGGAAAATGAGGAAGAGAAGGGGGGGAAATGAGGGAGAGAAGGGGGGAAAAATAGGGGGAGAAGGGGGGGAAATGAGGGGGAGAAGGGAGGCAAGTGGAGAGGGAGTAGGGGGGGTTGTGAGGGGGAGAAGGGGGGAGGGGGGGTAATTAGAAGAGGATGCGCTTAGCGGGAGAGGCGCTATGCGGGCGCTAAGCGGGAAAGGCGCGCAGCGGGTGCGGCGCTAAGCGGGAGAGGGTGAGGCGACACGCGGGAAAGGCGCACAGGGGGTGAGGCGCGAAATGAGAGAGGCGCGCAGCGAGTGATTCGTTGCGCGGGAGAGGCGCGCAGCGGTTGCGGAGCTAAGCGGGAGAGGCGCGCAGCGGGTCAGGCGCTAAGCGGGAAAGGCGCGCGGCGAGTGATACGCTAAGCGGCATGGCGCGCAGAGGGTGAGGCGCTAAGCGGGAGAGCTCCCAGCATTGGAGGCGGTAAGCGGGAGACCCGCGCAGTGGGTGAGGCGCTAAGCGGGAAATGCCTACCGAGCGGGTGTTGAGAGTGGCGGCGTGGCCAACGCATGGAACGATGCGATCCCGCCGTCGGCTCCGTAATTTTCAATCGGCTTACTCGATCGCACCTACCCAGCGTGGTGATGCAACCCGTCGAGGCGCCCTTGACAGGGCTTCGACGGGGCCCATCAATGCAGCACGACGCGCTCGACGAATGCAGAGCCTTTCCCTCTCCGATTGCCGCTGAACGGCGCAGCAGTGGAAAGGAGCTGGCGTGCAAGCTAGATGTATTTTCCCACTCGCACAAGCCTATAATGTTACCTAAACTCATCTCACATGAGAATATCTGAGCGGTGTCGATGCTCCGCATGTTCTTTGTCGCGCCCCGGTTCCTCTATCTATGCTTAGCGTATGTTAGTCACATATCATGGTTCCTAGTGAAATCTGACTCCAAGGTTGGGTGACGGGGGAGTTTCCTGTGTTTGGAACTCCTCAAAGCTGCAATTTTCCCCCCTTGCTCCTCTCATCTCTCCCCCTCCTCCCTCTCATTTCCCCCCTTGCTCCTCTCATCTCTCCCCCTCCTCCCTCTCATTTCCCCCCTTGCTCCTCTCATCTCTCCCCCTCCTCCCTCTCATTTCCCCCCTTTCTCCTCTCATCTCTCCCCCTCCTCCCTCTCATTTCCCCCCTTGCTCCTCTCATCTCTCCCCCTCCTCCCTCTCATTTCCCCCTTTGCCGCCTCTCATCTCTCCCCCTCCTCCCTCTCATTTCCCCCCTTGCTCCTCTCATCTCTCCCCCTCCTCCCTCTCATTTCCCCCCTTGCCGCCTCTCACTTCCACCCTTGCTCACTCTCGCTTCCCCGCTTCCCTCTCATTTCCCTCCTTCACCCCTTCATTTCCCAACCTAAACCCTTATTTTCCCCACCTTGCTCCCCGTCATTTCCCCCCCTTCTCCCCTTATTTTTCCCACCTTGCTCCCCTTCATTTCCCTCCCAGCTCTGGCATAGCCCCACTGCCCTCCCGTCCTTTTCATCTTCCCTCCCTTACAGGGTGGATCCCTTGCAAAATACTGCCCCCCACTCGCTCCCTTCCATTCTCCCTTCCACGCTCTCCCATCGCCATGCCTTAATTTCTCATCCCCCCTCCTTCCAGGGTCATCTCACCTCCCATGAGATCCCACTCGCTCCTTCAGTCCCTGCCCATACTGCCGCCGCTGCTGCCTTTGCCGGAGCTGCCTCTGCTGCCACACCCAGTGTTCCTTCCTTTGGTGTTCCCCCCGGAGCAGGAGGTAGCTCAGGAAAGGAGGGGAAGGCATGGTGGAGGAGGAGGAGACATGAGGCGAGGAGCAGCCAGTGGGGAGGATTGTTCGCCCCACTCCTTTGACTATGGACTGCCGACGCCGGCTGTTGGCCCCAACCCGTGTGACTCTGCAACTGCCCCGGTTCTGACCATACTTCTGCTCCTGCGGATTGAGCTCCTACTGGACCTAGCATTTGTGGAGCAAATGTAGCAGCAGCTCCCACGAGGAGTTGGAGCTGGGATGATCTTGCAAGAACAGCGGCAGGTGCATGGGCAGCAACAGCAGAACCAAGAGCGAGTGGACCCTGCTGCGGTCTCACAGCCGAGCGCGCTCATGAGTGCGCAAGCCGCAGGAGATGCAGCATGCCGGGTCTCTCACGATGGGTGCACACTATCGAAGCAGCCATGTCAGCAGTGGACTGGGGAGCGAGCAGGGTGTGAGGCTCGATGAGGAAGCGAGGCGGAGGGAGAGGGAGAAGGAGGAGGTAGCGAGGCTGTTGCGGCAGATGGTGCGTGCAAGCGAGCTCGACTCATCTCAAGTTTTGTCCCATCGTTCACGCCTCTCAGGTACTGTGCGCGTCCCATCGCATGCCTTGGGACTTGCCTAGACAACCGTTTTCACGCCACTTGGATGACTAAGGGCACTCTCTCCAGGCTTTGGTTGAGCTCACCCTGATATGTGCCTTCTTTTTCCCCTTCCTCGTCCCTTTCTCAGCCCTGACCCCCCCCACTCCTCTCACCGGCAGGTCCACCAAGCAGCACACAATGCATCGCTCCCCTCTGCTGCACACCAACGCCAGGCATACAACAGCAGCCGCCAACTTGTGCGGCAGCTCCCTGCGTATTTATTACTATGCACTTGTGATTCAAGAAGCATGCATACACTCCCAACTCTAGTACATTTTTGGCACTTCAGGACCAAAATCAAGCTCGTAGCCTCACAACATGTTTTATAAAAAAAGTCCTTACAATTGTATCACTATATACATAACCTTTATCACCCAACCCTGGATTCTTCGATACCAATCACGTGACTAGTCATATGCCTGTGCACGAATGCAGGGAATGGAAGGGAATGGCAGGGAATGGAAGTGTATGGAAGGGAATGGAAGTGTATGGAAGGGAATGGAAGGGTATGGAAGGGTATGGCTGGGGTATGGAAGGGAATGGTAGGTATGGAAGGGTATGGAAGGGAATGGAAGGGTATGGAAGGGAATGGAAGGGTATGGAAGGGAATGGAAGGGTATGGAAGGGAATGGAAGGTATGGAAGGGTATGGAAGGGAATGGAAGGGTATGACAGGGGATGGATGGGTATGGCTGGGGTATGGAAGGGAATGGTACACTTACGCTAGGGAAGGAAAGGTATGGCAGAGTATGGCAAGGTATGGCAGAATGAGGGACGGGCTTGGCTGGCGTATGGAAGGGTATGGGAGGAGATGGAAGGGTGTGGCGGTGTATGGCAGCGGATGGATGAGTATGGCATGCGATCATCCAAGGGTACGGTAGGGGTTAGAAGCATATGAGAGGGAGAAGGGGGGAAAATGAAAGGAGATGGGGGGAAATGAGCGGGGGGGAAACGAGATGGAGAAGGGGGGGGGAATGAGAAGGAGCACGTGGGGAAAGGAGAGGGAGATGGGGGGAAACGAGAGGGGGAAGGGGGGGGGAATGCGGGGAAATGAGAGGGAGGTTATGTGGCATTTAACTGAGTGGTTAAGGGGGGAATGAGAAGGAGCAGGGGGGAGAATGAGAGGGATAAGGGGGGGAAATGAGAGGAAGAAGGGGGGTACATGAGCGAGAGAAGGGGGGACATAACAGTGAGCAGGGGGGAGGATGAGAGGGAGAAAGGGGGGGAATGAGGGGCTTCATGGGGGGAATGAGAGGGAGTAGGGGGAGATATAAGAGGGGGAAGGGGAAGAAATGAGAGGGAGAATGGGGGGGAATGAGCGGGAGAAGGGGGTGACATGAGAGAGAGAAGGTGGGGACATGACAGGGAGCAGGGGGGGAGATGAGAGGGAGAAAGGGGGGGATGAGGGGCTTCATGGGGGGAATGAGAGGGAGAAGGGGGGAGGAATGAGGGAGAGCATGGGGGGGAAATGAGAGTGAGCAAGGGGGAAAATGAGAGTCTGCAAGGGGGGAAATGAGAGTGCGGCTGCCGCGGCTAGTGCGGAAACGTGGTAGCGAGGCTGTGCGATCGGGCGGCGACTGTGATGTGTGTTCGGCAGTTTGAGAAGGGAGGCGAGAAGGGATAATCGGGAGTGGGAAGGGGAAGCGGGGAGGCGGGAAGGGGAATTGGGGAGGCGGGAAGGGGAAATGGGGAGTGGGAAGGGGTAATGGGGAAGCGGGAAGGGGTCACGGGGAGGAGGGAAGGGGTAGTGGGGAGCGGGAAGGGGAATTGGGGAGGCGAGAAGGGGTAATGGGGAGCGGGAAGGGGAATTGGAGAGGCGGGAAGGGGTAATGGGGAGCGGGAAGGGGAATTGGGGAGGCGGGAAAGGGTAATGGGGAGCGGGAAGGGGAAACGAGGAGGCGGGAAGGGATAATGGGGAGCGAGAAGAGGAAATGGGGTGGCGGGAAGGGGAATTGCAGAGGCAGGAAGGGGTAATGGGGAGCGGGAAGGGGAAACGAGGAGGCGCGAAGGGGTAGTGGGGAGCGGGAAGAGGAAATGGGGTGTCGGGAAGGGGAATTGGGGAGGCGGGAAGGGGAAACGGGGAGGCGGGAAGAGGTAATGGGGAGCAATCGTTTCTGATTACCCTCGCGACACCTCAATTGCGGCTGCCGCCGCTACTGCGGAAACGTGGTAGCGAGGTCGCGCGATCGGGAAGCGACTGTGATCGTGCGTGTTCGGCAGTTTGAGACGCAGCGTGCGCGTTCATGGTGGCGTGAGGAGGCCGCGTGGTGAGGCAACGCGACGGACGACGAGGCGAGGCTGTGAGAAGGGGTCCGGCGGGCTCGCCGTGTTAGAGGGCGGAACTGACGTTGGCTCGGACGTGTAATTACACTAAACTGCCCCACGCGTCTAAGTTTGTGTCGGAAACGGGAGTGATTTGCGCTGGCTGTTGTCGCGATGTGCTTTGCTACGATTTATGCTGCCTGTTGAGCGTAGTGGCGTAGATCTCACATGGACTGGATTTCGTATACTTTTGTTATTCCAAAAGTTTTGAATCACCAGTGAGCCCTGGGTGACGGGGAGATCACCTCCCTTGTGAAGCGAGTGAAACTAGCTGTTTCTGGGTTACCAATATTTCAAATTTCAAAACTTTTGAACCTCCCTTTTTCAAATGTATACGAAAGCTTTAACCAGACAAAACAAGGTCGCGACGCCGGGAGGCGGGGAGCAGCGAAAGCAGAAAGCTAAGGAGCGAAAGAGAGGGGGAGATGGGATTTCGGATCTTTGCGAAACGGGTTTAGCGAAACGAAAAGTGTCAACGAGGGATGTCGCATCGCGTGGGGAAGGAGTTGGAAATGCTGCTTTCGCGAGTGGGTGTACGATCTGTTTCGCTACGAAAGGGGACCACGAATTCCACGAGCCACCCAAATGTGGATATCCACCGAGCCCTTCTTCCCTCCCAGCAACTTGGAGTACCCTCAAGAGAGTTACCATTTGTGTTCGTGATTGGTAACTCTCAAACTCCGCGACAGCTCTTCGCCTGCTAATCTAAACCCCTCGCAGTTCGCATTTTGCACGTTGCGCCCATCTGTCGACAGGGTGGAACCAAGATAGAAATCCGGATAACAGCCGTTCCACTCGTCGTCTACTGCCTACATCCGCTGCGTGACTCACTCCGATCCGATCGCCACTTCGTTCTCTCTCCTCTCCGTCGTCGATTTCGCCGCTTTTCGTCGTCGCTCGTTCTTTTTCGCCAGCAGCGATGGGTCGCAAGAAGAAGTTTGTGGACAAGAAGAGCGCGGCGTCGTTCACGCTCATGTACCGCGAATCCAACGACCCCGACGCGCCCGGTGAGCGCGTCTTCGTGCGCACCGACGCCGGAAGCAACCATGTTCCGGGATTCTCGGACGACTACCAGCCGCCGATCCCGGAAAACGCGGAGGATTTTAGCGGCGAGGAGTGGGAGGAGGAGGATGATGAGGATGAGGAAGAGGGGGAGGAGGGGGAGGGGGAGGGAAGAAGCGTCGCCGGGAGCAGGAGGTCCCGAGCGCAGTCGCACGCTGTCGCACGCGCGACTGATGGCGACGACGCGGCCTCGGTCGCGGGCCGATCGCACGCGAGCACGAGGCGCGGTGGAGGGAGAGGGCGCGACTTATGGGCGGGCCTGGGGTTGGGCGGGCCGCCCGGGTGGGATGGGGGGAGCGTGATGGGAGGAGGAGGAAGCGTGGCCGGCGGGCAGGGCAAGAAAAAACTCACCGAGAGCGCCCGTCGCGAAATTATCGAATTAGGGTTACCCGACGACGGGTACGACTACACGCAGCACCTTCGGGTGATCGGGCAGACGAGGACGTTCGCGTCGTTCGTTCCCGCCGAGGCTCCCGCGGCCGCGCTTCCCGACGACGTAAAGGTGCGATTGTTGTATACCTGACGGCCGCCGCTGTCCGCCCTTGCCATCCGCCATGCGCCCCCACCCCTCCCCCCGCGCCCCCCATTCCCCCCGCCCCTCTACCCCTTGTCAGCTTCGAATCCTCGCGCGCTGCACTACACCACCCGCGTTCTTTACATGCGTACTAATTATCCATTTTCGTTATTGATGTACATCCGCCCACCGCAGATATATAAAGCCACGCGCCTTACCGTGCGGCCGGACACGTCGGCTGCCACGACAGCAGCCGCCGACGCGCCGGTTGCTGACCTGGAGGTCGTGGCAAAGATCTCCTCCGTCATCAAGGAGATTCGGCCGAAGCGCGGATTCCCCGCCGCCGCGCCGCCCGCCCGCGCAGCTCAAAGTGCAGCGCCAGCTTCCGCGGGAGCGCAAGCAGGCGATTCCGCAGGCGGGGAGGGCAGCGCAAACTACTTAGGCGTTTCAGGGCTCGATCCGGAGGTTTTAGCGCTGCTAGAAGGGGACGGGGGAGAGGGGGAAGCGGGGGAGGGGGAGGAGGGGGAAGATGTTTTCGGGGAGCTAGAAGATGACTTTGTTTTGCTGGCGACGGCGGGGGGGGAGGAGGAGGAGGAGGAGGCGGAGGAGGCGGAAGATGCGGAAGGTAGGTTGAACGAGGCAGCGGGGGAAGGGGAAAGTGTGAGGTTGGCGGAAGAAGCTTCCGGTGTGGGTGCGGCAGGGGACACGGTCATTGCGCCAGGCGTGGAAAGCTTAACAAGCGGGGTTGAGGGTTCGGGGGTTAAAGGAGAAAGCTGGAAGCTTGGCGGGGAAGCGGCGGTGGGCGCGGAGGCGCAGCGGAGGGAAGCAGCGGTGGGCGGGGAGGAAATGCGGCGGAGGGCGGAAGAGGAGGCTAAGAGCCGCGCTCAGGCGGAGGAGAACCTGAGAGCGCTGGAGGAACAAGTGATGCTGGTGAGTGGTGCGGTGTGGTGCTAGGTCATGCTGAGAGGTGCTGAGTGGTGTAGGGAGCAGAATTTCTTATCGTCCATACAGAATTTGGTCATTTTCACACGTCTAAATTGAACCTGAAACCCGACACCCAAAGAGGGGAAAATTCTCGTTTACCCTTATCCGAATTGAACCCGAAACCTTGCGTTTCCCTCACCTCCCTCCTTTTGCCATCATTCTTCGACCCTGCTGCTGACTCACGCCTCCAGCTGGCTGAGCGGGAATACGCGGATGCTGACGTGGACGACTTCTCAGATGACGAGGACGGGGACCACCGGGGCGGCGGAGGGGGGTCCGCAGCGGGGCATGCGGATATTTCCATGTTCAGCAACGTGCTGGACGACTTCCTGGAAGCTTCCCGGCGGGAGAGCCTGCTGGAGCTGCAGAGGGGGGGCGCGGTTGTGCGGATGGGGAAGGGGGAGGGCGGGGGAAAAGGGGAGAGCGGGGAGAGGGGAGATAGTGGGGGAGCAAAGGAGGTGAAGGAGGGGGGCGAAGAGAATGGAGAGGAAGAAATTGTGGCTATTCCTATTGTGCCTGGTGGGGGAGATAGGGTTGGGAAGGGAGGGGACACGAAAGAGGAAGAAGAGGAAGAGGAGGAGGAGGAAGAGGAGGAAGAGGAAGAGGTGGAATATATTTCGGAGGAGGAGGGCGAGGAGAGGGAGAGGGGCAAGTGGGACTGCGAGTCGATAGTCTCTACCTACTCAAACCTAGACAACCACCCTGCACGAATCTCCGCCCCTTCCAATCCCCGCAGAAAGGGGAGCAGAGCGGGAGAGGCGGCGGCGGGAGGAGGGGGAGTGGCCGGGGGGGGTGGTGGGAGGATTGGGGTGGAGGAGATTAGATTGAAGGGGAGAGCGCAGCTGCCTGCTGGGTTTGTGCCGGGGAGAGTGGGGAGAGTGGGGAGAGAGGGGAGGGAGGGGGAGGAGGAGGGGAGAGGGAGTGGCACGGGGGGTGGGTTGCAGGGGATTGGGGAGGATGAGGAAGGGGCGGGGGAGGGAGGGGGGGGTGTTGTGTTTGTGCGGCCGAGAGGGAAGGAGAAGGAGACGCCTGAAGAGAAGAAAGCACGCAAGGTATGGAACTGTGGTGTAAGGTTCAGTGTGGTGGTGCAACTTACGGTGCGGTGGTGCAAGGTGCAGGTGGGGTGTGAAGTGCATGGGAGGGAAAGACAAGGAGACGCCAGAAGAGAAAAGCTCGCAAGGTAGGGCTTTTGAGGCACCTGAAAAGAGGCCTGAGGGGAAGGACAAGTGCAAGAAAGCTCGCAAGGTAGGGCTTTTGAGGCACCTGAAAAGACGCCTGAGGGGAAGGACAAGTGCAAGAAAGCTCGCAAGGTAGGGCTTTTGTGGCACCTGAAAAGACGCCTGAGGGGATGGAAAGCACTCAAGGTAGAGGGTGCCGCTGTGTAAGGTTCATGGGTTGGTGTGTGGGCATGGTGCTTTTGTCCTTCTCCTGTGGGCATGGTGCTTTTGTCCTTCTCCTGTGGGCATGGTGCTTTTGTCCTTCTCCTGTGGGCATGGTGCTTTTGTCCTTCTCCTGTGGGCATGGTGCTTTTGTCCTTCTCCTGTGGGCATGGTGCTTTTGTCCTTCTCCTGTGGGCATGGTGTTTTTGTCCTTCTCCTGTGGGCATGGTGCTTTTGTCCTTCTCCTGTGGGCATGGTGCTTTTACCCAGTAACCAGTACCCAGTCGTGCTTTCACTACCTGCGTCTCCTCCTCCCTCTCCTTCTCCTCCTCATGCCCCCCTCACCCCTCTCTCCGCACACTCAAACCACTTTAAACCACGACCAACCTTTCTGTGTATCACCTGAAGACATCTCTCTCTACACCTCAACCAACCCCTTTCTTTCCACCACAGCCAACCACTCTGGGTTACCCATCGCTTCTCACTCAACCTCTTTCCACCGCATCCAACCTCTATCTGCCACATCTTGTGCAGGAAGCTGTGAAGGCTCAGAAGCGGGCGGCGAGGGAGGCGAAGAAGCAGACAAAAGAGATGTACAAAGTGGAGGGCAAGAAGGCTCAAAAGGGTGCGGCATCCACTGTTGCACAAGGCATACATTTACTGTAGCAGTGTGTTTTGAGTTGCGCACTTGGCAGTGGAGAGAAATGGCACTATGGATACAAGTGGGATTGAGGGTACATTCCTGTGGGGACACTTGTGTCTCAATCCCCGTTTTCCCGAGTCGCGCCTGTTAATTTTCCCAATGTTGTGTCACAAATATCGAATGTACCGCGACGTAGGGCGACAGATTGGCAGGTTCAGTTGGACACGTTTCATTGGCTGCGATAAAAAAGAGATGTACAGTTGTGTGCATTTGACTGGGTGACAGTACACCCGTATTTTCTGCTAGAAAGGCATAGTGCCGGCGTAGCGGAAACGTGTTTGTAGAGAAGAAAAAGAAATCTTGCATTGATCATTGAAAAGTAGAAAGATGACACAATGATAACTCAATGATTACTCAATGATGTTGAAGAAGTGACACAGCAGGGTATATACGGTATGCATCCAACTACCCCGCCAGAACGACCCATTCACACCAATAATGGTGTACCAATAATTGTACCCTCTACCCTCCAATAATGCTAGGCTCCAATAATTGTGGCCCTACAATAATTGTGACAAATGTTGTAGGACCTGGAGACTTTAAAAGGGGACTACACTAAAACCAAACAGCACAGTGGTATACAGTATTCGTTATAGTGTATTTGGATTTCCAACATTTTCAACCTCCGAGCTGGGGCGTGATCCTTTCCCTCGCAAAATTG